AGAAGCCCGCGGCAACATTAATTCAACAGAAAAACTGTAAAAATTAGATCGGATTTTAGCCGCTTTGCCCGCCTCTCCTCGTTACTTACAACAAACCGTTCTTATACTCATCTCAAAATTTTTTCAGAGCTTTGGGTTATCATCAGCTTCCATTTAAACTCCGGTTCGATGGCCGAATCGGCTGCCAAAAAAGCAAGCCACTGTTGAAGGGTTCTATGAGAAATTCGTGATATTATCGGCTCTCAGGAAATCACCCCATGGCTAAAATTGGTGGTATAAATGTTTAAGTGCTTAAAATAATCGTATTCAAGAAACTAAGGAATTAAATTATGGAGTCAATTTCTTTTTAATAATATAACGGGATTTACTACCGGTGATTTAGCTATTATAGCCCCAGAATACTTTTAAAGCGCCTTTGCGTTCCAGAATCTCGACGGAATTTTTTTTGGCTTAAACGATTCAAGAGACATTGTAGTTAAAAATATAAAGATTTTTCGATTTGGACGTATAAAAAATGTTTAACTCGTTCAGGCACACCGTGTATTGTATGGGGTACTGCTGTTATTCGACCGTTGTCTTCAGGTCAAAATTCTTACAAAGAAGCCCCTTGCAAGAGGCGAATTTTTTGTAATTTCTCCCAGTTTTTTCAGCGTTAGGTATACATATAAATGAATTGCTTGTCAAATTCTGAGGTCAATTATATTTAATTGTAATTTATACTTTCTTTTTTTCCCCTTCATTTTATTTTTCGTATCGAGAAGTCGAGGTTTTGTTCATTTCTTCGGATTTCGATTACTGTAACTTCTCTTCTATTCGGCCGATTTTTATGAATGAGGTCTCTTTTTATTTGTGTTTTAACGGAGGGTAAGGAAAAAATTGCTAAATACATGCGAAACAATTTTTTTTGAAAATTGGATGAATCCTAGCGTGACGGTGAAATGGTTAATGAAGCGTGAGTAATTGGGGTACGGGTATCTGCCGCGTTGGGACCCAAGGCGGCCCAAGGCCCATTGTTCTTCGTGACGCCGACGCAGTGATCAGGAGCGTGGGGACGAGAGGGCTGAGTGGACTCCTGTATGAGCCACGTTTAGCAAATGGTCTAATGAGTCTCGAGGCTCATCACAGATTGCACTTACCACTATCCTGCTGGCCCCGGCTATCAGAGCAAGGAGTACCAACTTTTGAAAAGGATAACAGTGGTTGGAGATATGTCAAAGGAACGTTTTGAACAAAACGGAGTGAGTGAAATTCTCATTCAAGGAGTGCCGAACTGGTCAGCCATCCTCGAATCAGTTCGCTTGCTTCCGCTTATATATGCATATTTTAAATCAGCGCGCCCTACTCTTAGGCTTTTTTTAAAAAAACCAAGTAACGTAGACTCTTGGTATTCACTGCACATAAACTAGCGAGCCCCAGAATGAGAAACAACTTTAAATCATGATTATTGACGGATAAATAAACTTTTTACACGCTTTGGAAAATCTCAGAAGTTCGCGGTAGTCACTTTTCGGTAAGGAACTAAGGGACTCGGTTATTGTATCGAGCAGGGTTCGAAACGATCGCAAAGGCGGTATACTACGTATACGCGCCAAAAACACATCGGAAAATATGTTTAATCTCAGTTTCTTTCCAAGCGTGGAAAAGAGGGTCGCGATTCAGAATTCACCGGCAGGGATTCACTTGATTCACTCTGTTCACTGATGACGTAGAAAAATAGCTACTAATTATTCTAGATATGATGATTGTGATGATTAGAGATGATGAGATTCTTTCCAAGGGATCAGACAATATTTCAAGACAAATTTTTTATATGGAGCATCTAACTGCAGCTGACTGACACCATGACACTGGCGATGCGTCGCGTCGTGAATGGTCGTGAATTGAATGAAACAAAGACTTTGATCAGTTGAACTTTCTTAAAAATTAATAATGCAAAAGCACGTTCTAAATTCAAGAAATGATGCCTATGCACTGGTTTAAACTTTTTGAAATGATTTGCAATGGTTTTCATAACTGTTAAGTGCACATTTATATTTAATGCGGATGGCCAATTGAAGTCAAAATTTCGAGACACGAATTGAGTTGCGAGTGGTATGGTGGTATTGGAACGACTATAATCGTTTGACTTTTGTAAGTTTTAATAATGCAGAAGCACGTTCTAAATTCAAGAACTGATGCCTATGCACTGGTTTAAACTATTTGAAATGAGTTGAATTGGTTGTCATAACTTTTGGCAGCATATTTATATTTAATGAGGATGGCCAATTGAAGTCACAATTTCGAGGCACGAATGTTAATGCGGCGCGAGTGATTTGAAAGAGTGGCCAAAAAACGGCAGTTAATTAGGGATTATTAATTAACTGCGTAATTAATCAGCTCCAAATTTCGCCTGTAGGCGAGGAATAAAATTTGCTTGCCAGGGTGCAAAAGGTTTTGAGTTTCGTTAAGTTTTTGCGGGGATATCTCAAAATAACGCAAAAGTTGAACGGGTTCGTGTAAGATACAGTAGCGGCTCCCGATTTCGTTGTTGGAGATCTTTATAGGCTTGACGGGGTCGCCACCGCTCCTAGTAATAGTAGGGCCCATGAACGATGATCCCTGAAAAGTTGGGCGAATAAACGTATGGACCATGTAAATGACAACTCTCCGAGGTTGAGTTCTTACATCGAAGAGACCGGGTATTGTGAACGCGAAAAGCTATAGTATGCGAACCGCTGCTGTCGTACCCCTATCTTCAGGTCAAAATTCTTAAAAAGGGGGCCCTTTCGCACAAGATCAATTTCTTGTAATTTTGCCCCAATCTCTTCGTACATATCATGGTTGAATTGGTTGTGAAATTCTGAACTAAATGATATGTAAATGTAATTTAAATGTTTGATTCTTTCCTTATCTTTCCTTTATGTAGCGAAGTCCAATTTTTATTCATCTCATCGTATCTCGAACTGTAACTTCTCTGCTATTCGACCGATTTTTATAAACGGGGCCTCTTTTTTACTCGCGTTTTAACGGAAAGTATCACTTGCTAAATACATGTTAAACAATATTAAAAAAATGTTGGTTCATTCTAGTAGGACGGTGAAATTGGTAATTGCGCGTGAGTAAGTAGGGTTTGAATGTGGCTCCGGTTGGGGTGTCACTGCTGCCAGTGTTTAAAAGAAATACCCGCGGCTCAGGGATCATCGTTCGTGGGCCCTACTAAAGGCAACTGTGCACACGCTAGAGAGTCATTCCAGCGGAGAACCCGATCTTCTGGTGTCAAGTTGAAGTAACGCTATTGAACTACGGGCGGCTGTTTTTCGACAGAAGTATTGCACAGTGTCAGATGAGAATGCATGAACAATAACGTACTTAAATTGATTGTTACAGTTTATTACCGTGTCGACTGTAGAGTCCTATACTGGTCCTACAATATTCAGCATCTGCTTGATCTGTATTAATCGTCTGAAAGACTTGCAGTAACTTATTTAATCTTAAGGTCACGAGAGATTCTCTTTTTTTAAGCTAGCCAAAAAGTGAACACGCACGATGATTTTTTATTTGGCGCTATTTTCGGACGTAACAAGTTCCGAACATAAAAAAAAAATTGCCATGTATCAGAGACTTATTGTATTTCGATAGAAATATAAACGAGTTATATTTTGCAGCATCTTTCGTTAAATGAGAGTAAACATATTCTCGTTAGGAAATTAAAATATTCTCGCTTCAAAAGGATGTTAGGTATCGAAAGTTAAATTTTTAAATGCTTGCATTTTCGTTAACGTGGAAGTTAATGTTGAAGAGTCAAGATATTAAATATAGATATCAGCATCCGTTTCTTTGAAATATTGAAGCAAAAAGCAACTATTGACATGCTGGTCTATATCACACATTTTCCATCAGTAGCACGCCTTCAATTATGCACGACACTTCAAGCCTCACTACGAAGTTAGTTCAGTTGTGTAACCACGCTAACCCAACTCCCACCAAAAGCGCAGATTTTGATGATCGCAAAGTGCAACTTTCAAAATAGGATATTTCCTAGTTTCCTATATTTCTAAACTCTAAATTCTAAATTTCTATGTTTAGCGAGACTTTTTGGGATTCTATATTGATGGTTTACGATGTCATTTTGTTCTACTGTTTTCCTTCTATCTAAATTACGACAATTGAATGGTAACATCAATCAATCCGTCTGAAACATCAATAATTAGACATAGATAATATACTTTAATTTTTGTGCAAATCCGTATTAGGTCGTATCTTTTGATGGAAGTTTCGGATTTCCAGTCAAATTTTCAAAATTTCAAAATTCAAGAAAGCGGACATGGTCTAAAATTCTATCTCGGCTCCTGCTCGATCGTTTTTTGTGCAATTCGGTTTCAGGCGGTAATTGGCGGTATTTTTTGGCGGGAACCTGGAATTTTCATTCAAATGTTCAACATTCAAAAATCCAAGAGGGCAAAAGTTGTCTAAAATTCTATGTTAGCCCCTTCGAATTTATCCAATGATACAATGGAGATGTGTATCCTTATTCTGCTCAGTTTCAAAATCGATGTACTCTCGGCTAATTTTGACCTCGATGTTGGTGCTCTATTCAACTTTGTTGTGTCGGACTTGCTTGTTTATTTATTAATGTATTTATCTTTTAATGTTTTTTTTTATTTTTTTTATTTTCTCATTTGATCATTCTGAGGAAGAAGGAGTATAATCAAAGCTCATAATCCAGCCGACAAGAACACTGATTGTCAGTCAGTTTGTTTCGGTTTTTTTGGGTCCCTTTACTTCAAGGGCTATTTATTCCGTGTACAGGGAAAAACGTAACTCAAGGCATGATTTTCAATTTCGAATGCTTAGTGTTACTGGCTGACATTGTAATACCCTCAAACGCCATTAGTTAAAATCTCATATAATGAGATATTTAAAGTGTAAATGATGGACTTAAAAACGAACCGTAAACAATTTTAGAGTTATAAAGTATGTTTTTAACATTTTTATCATTCAAATCGTTTTTTTTGTCACAGAATGGGACCTACGCTTGTGCCTCTCTTTGTCCGCAAGAGAATATTCTTCCTCTGAGCAACTGCTTGCATCCAAGATTAGTTGATGTCCCTGGTCAATGCTGCAGGGAATGGATGTGTGACAGTCATAAAGGTATCCTTTTTTGCATCCCTCTATGAAATCGTACTCTTTAATTTTGTAGAATTTATTATTCTTAATTTTTCTCTCTTCTGCAGCCCGGCCACAGACTTTGGCTGATCCATTGATAGCGAAGGAACAAGCTCGTTATTGGGTGCTTCCCTATGGAACGGAGTTTCATTTCATCGAGGTCAATTGATGTGAAAAGTCCGTGGTCAGGCTGCTGACGGTATGAGGATAAATTTCATTCTTCATAAAAAATAGTCTTTAGTTTTAAAAAAAAGTCAAGACAAGACTAAAAATTGGCCATCAGTCCATTGTAAAATATGTAGACACGGGGTTTGAAATCAGTTTGTCTTTTTTAAGTAAGTAAGGCCGGGCTGGCCGGCGAGGCGCCCTCAAGGGGCCAAGGCAACTGGCAACTGCCGTCGTGCACCCCGAAGTTGGACCGAACTCCTTAACATATCTTCGTACTATTGACACATTGAGTATTATCTATATTCCCGCAAGGCTCAGCGGCCGTCTGATAGCCAACGGAAGGTCTTATCAAAGACTGTGGCAGACGCTGCAGAGCACGGACTTTCGGAGCACGGCCATGCCTCCACCGAGTTGGACTGTGTTGTTGCAATCTACACTGATAGGTAGCGCTGGCAGTCGCGCACACTACGAGTGATTACCGATTTTTCACAACCCAGTCTAACAGTGCAGACGGATTACTTACTGGGTGACTATGTCCCTCCCGCACCCTGTAACCTCGAAGGGTCAGGGTTTTGGAGTGGCATAGTCATCCGGGGGTTGAACCCGGGACCTCAGTGTTGGCAGCGAACTGCCTTGACCACTACACCACTGAGGCTGACCTTTGTCTTTTTTTATTTACTCATACGGAGAGATAAAACATCAAATCTCTCTTTCCACGTCTTAGCACTGCAGAGATTGGCATCTTACCGCAGCTCAATAAAAAAGTAGCAAATGTTCCTCACCGATCAAGGTGCTACAGAAAAACATTTTTTCCTTGTCGAAAAAGTCTATTTACTGTTGATCGCAGTCATAAATTTGTACAAAAAATCAAAATATTCGTCACAAAAATGAAAAACCACGAATTTGTAGTTGATTTCTCCCATTTTGTAGTGCATTTCAACAGATTTTTGACGTCGTTAATCTTCTAAACTCTTGAACTATTCATATCTGGGATCCTCGCTGTGTAGTATAAATCAGTGATATCTTTTCAATTTGGAATATGTTACTTCATTTCCTCTCAACTCGGTTCACGTACTAATGACATGTCTATGATTTTGAGTATGGTCACATTTCACTACCATGATATTCAGAAGAAATATCTGATAACTCAAACTTGAATATCTGATTGTGTTTTTCAGCTCAGAGACCGCCAGAGTGCCTGCCAAACTTCTCTCAATGGAGCTCGTGTTCAATCGAGTGCGGTCTTGGGTACTCGCACCGGGTATCCAACCTCAATCCACAGTGTGTTCTCAAAAATGAAACTCGGCTTTGCCAACTCCGGCCGTGTGTCGCACCGTTGCCTCCTGTCAAGTCCAGGACTCACCATCACATCAGGGTAATCAGCAATTACTTCCACCCTGTTAAAGCTGCGAAAGTCAGTACCGGAATATATTAAGCTACCGTACCAAGATTTCATCAACGCCTTACAGAAAAACTTGTTTTAACTACTAAAAAACCAGTGTTTGAGTATTATCACACACTTACACACACCCTCACCGTCACACCCTCACACACACACACCCTCACACACACATCTATACTATAAGCTCCAAGACCTCCTAATTTTGCGAAACTGGTGACGCTTAGTTCCAGCGTTCTACCGGGCCGATTTTCATGATTTTTGCGGCTATTGACGGGCAATTGTCTCTAGATAAGCCAACTCTTTTCAGATTTTGAAAATATGGCCCAGGTTTTTTTATATTACGTGGTAAAGTTGCGAATTCTCCCATATAAACAATGTAAATTTATGTGTTTTGTCATAGTTCGTTTGAGCATTCTACTGGGCCGATTTCCATGATTTTTGCGTTAATCGACAGGTAATAGGCTCTAGATGAGCCCGCTCTAATCAGATTTTGGAAAAAGGACCCAGGTTTTTTTAAAATCACGTTATTAAAGTGAGTGAATTTACAGAGTGCTCCGGGACTGCTACCGCTATGCGCGGGAGGATGCGCAGTGGTCGAGGAGGTTGCGCAGTAGGTGTGTAGCCTGCGCATCAGCTCTACACTTATCTACACAAGATTTCCGCCAACTACCTCAAGACGAGCGGTGGCCGAGTCGTCTACGACGTTAAAAGTGTCCACATTGATCAAGGCGTGGGTTCGATCCCCGCCTCCAGAGATACTTAATAATTTTCCGATTTAAACAGATCGTTGTTTTACTGTAATATTTCACCAAGCAGTCATTCCAAAACGCGTCCTTTTGACTTCAAAAATTTTTTTTTCTTTATTCATCAAAACCAAAAATTATTTCATTCTATTAAGTATACCTCATATCGAATTTTTTTAGGGGAAAAATAAAACTAATACTATAATAGGAGGGTAAAAATAGGGCCGCGAAGCGGCCCATTGATGGCGCGGAGCGCCTTCGGGGGGTTGGGCCGCGTAGCGGCCAGGGGGCGTAGCCCCCTAGTATATATATATCCGAGAACTCCGAAATTTGCGTATCTGGTAACGTTTAGTTGCAGCGATCTACTCGGCTGATTTAGGCAATAGTCTCTAGATGAGCCCGCTTTGTTTAGATTTTGAAAATATGGCCCAGGTTTTTTTTATATTACGTGGTAAAGTTGCGAATTCTTCCATTTAAACAATGTAATTTTTTATATTTTGTCATAGTTCGTTTGAGCATTCTACTGGGCTGATTTCGATGATTTTTGCGGTTATCGACAGGTGATAGTCCCTAAATGAGCCCGCTGTAATTATATTTTGGAAATGTAACCCAGATTTTTTTATAATTGGGTATACCTGGGAGCTTAGAAAGGGGGCAAAATTTGATGAAATTCCCGCTATATTTCATTGGCGGGAATAATTTCAAATTTTGCGGAAAATTGAACAAAGCGGGAAATTGTGAATCTTGGTCTGTTAGTAGGGTGTAAGTGAATAAATTGTGCTTCGTTACTACAGACTATCCAAAAGTAACGAAACGCTCCGTTCCCTTCATTCCGTTTCGTTTCAGTCTTGGCCTGAAGTTGGAAATAAATGGCGGTTATCTTTTTTGATTCTTATCGGTCCAATTTCTCCCGGCCGGAGAAATATTGAAAAGATAAGAGCCGGTTATGAAAATCTTTATATCTTTTTGGTCGTTCTTTTGTCAACGCGGGCCTAAGAGAACGCGACGCGCCCCCCTGGGGTTGGGCCGCGTAGCGGCCAGAGGGCGTAGCCCCCTAGTTAACCATACTGTCTACTTGAATTTTTTCCAATGAAGCTGCAGTTTAGTTAGTTACCAAATACCAGTATTGTAAATGACACGATACGGCTGACGCAATGCTAATCAGGCTAGGCTCTTTGGCCAGGGCGTAAGTTTCTATCAGGCTGCAACTTTATCAAGTGTTTTTGTAGTATGAAATACGCCAATGAATTAAAAGATCATCCTGGTATTTCTTTTTTTCGCTCCGACCGCAAAGCAAAATTGAATTTGAAGAAATCTCGAAAATGGCCATTTTTGGCTTTTTACCCATATTTTAGCATTAAATAAACGATTAAATTGATTAAACAACTACCTGGAACAAGTTTTTTTTCCCCTCAATTCAGACTTTCTGTCGTCCAAAAGAGGTTAGAACCACAGACATTTGATTTGACTATCAATATAGTCAGTTTCTCTCCATTCAATTTTCGAATGGATTAGTTATAATGAAAATGAAGATCCACTGAGCTATTCTGAAGAATAGCAATTCTCCCTTTTATCACGCGTACCGAGCAAAACAACGCATGACGGGCGTTTTGATCCCACTCTTAGGGCTTCGTTCCACACACACCAGGCCAAACGCATGAAAGAACAATGAGCCAAAAACCCGCCACGAAAATACTACGTGTCACTCTCTCACCACATACGGACTCAAGACATTTTCTTCACGTCAAAACTTTTTACTCGGCTTATTTTCCCGCGTTTAAGTTTCCGGCAGCGTTGCCAACTCCCCGAAAATAATCTCACGCGGCATCTGGTGTAACACCGTGCTTTAACACGCTCGCGGCAACCCTGCTTCGCGATGTAAAGGGTTTTGGGCGCTTGCCGAGTCAGAAATTTAGCAGACGATACAAGGGGCGTGCACCAGTGAGGAATGAGTTCCCGGAACAGAAACGGAGCAACAAATAGAGGATAAGGAAATGAAATTAATTATTCACGTGTCGTAACCGCCGAATGGGGTCGGGGCAAATACTTATGAGAGGGCTTAAGGGGGGGAGGGTGTCAGGTGGTATAATATTGCGAATCTGTGACGGCTGTGGCGGAGTTTGGAAGGACCAAACACGTGGTGATACATTTGCGTGTTTTTGGCTTCCTGAATGCTTGTTTGAGTCGTTTAGAATTCAGTGAAAATGGTACATTCTACTGCTCAAATTTTTGGAGCACATGGAATGAAAACATGTGATTATTTTGGGGATATTTCTTTGAAATCAGATTCAGCCCTATTTCTTTGCTTGCACATTACCTCATTACCAATATTTTAATAGCCAGTATTTTTAAAAGTGTCACTTGGTCGTCAATTTCCAATTTGAGTATCAAAATGACAGATCGACAGTGAAACTTCAAGAATGCATATCTCAGTTGCGGCAATTTGAAATTTCCGTCACCATTTTATTTTTTAAAAGGCGACCGAACTAACATCATTGCTTGGAGTTTCTTACTTACAGAATTTTCTTCAAAAAGGGTAAAAATAATCACTGACATTTTAAAACGAGGCCGTTCTGTACTTCTTCATGTAGAAATTAATGTAAACCAGAGGTTTGGATAATCGCAAACCGAGATACGCATTTCAGAAGATTCACCATCGTAATGTTCCTTAACTCTTACCTAAAATCAACAACCTACTGACACCCCTCAAAGAAAAAAGAGGTATTACCATTACGTACCTACTGGTGAAAGTAAACCAGGAAGTTTCAGTGTATCATATTCATGTATTGAAACTTACTTTTCACATTTTGTTCATTTACATTTTTCGTCCCTGTAAGAGCGTAAACTTTGAGCCAGGACCAACGTTCTGGAACCCATTCACAATAAGTAACTAATTTTGCATTATAGTATTATGATTGTGGCATCAAAATCTTTCATTTTGGAAGAAAAACTCAAAAGTAGGACCAGTTTCTGATAATTCAAGCACCACTTTATTTATGTGGATGAGAAATCGTTCATGTACCTGCATCTTCGTCTATTTTAATGGCCAAAGTTCGAAACCGCGTATCTCCGTGTGCGACCTTGCAGACTTCTTGTCAATTTTTATCTTATCTTTGGAACACTAATCAACGCTCCTAATTTCTCAAAGACTCCCTTTATTATTCTACGGGTCTCCAGAATATTACGTGTAAAGTTCAATCTATATCAGGGACCTGATGGAGAAGTGCATCAAAGGGGGTAAGGTTCCGAAAGATTGGAAAGAGTCTTGGATCACAGCTACTCATAAAAAGGGCCGGAAGGAAGATTTCAAAAACCATAGAGATTTGTCGGTGACAGGAACGTTGGGTAAGATCTACGGGAAAATTTTGAAAGCGGAGATCGAATCAGAATGGAAGCCTAATGAAACAATGGAGCAGGTGGGGTTTAGAAAGGATCGATCGACGATTGACCATCTGTTTTGTTTTACTCAGCTTATCGAGAAAAGTATGACAGTAAGAAAAGAGCTGCACTTAGTTTTCGAGGCGTGTTAGAGGCGATCATCAAAGCATAGAGTCGGATGATGGCCAGGAGATAAAGGGTTGTGAACAGAACAAGTACCTAGGTGTGCGCTTAACATCAAATGGCAAAATGGACCACACAATCAAAATCGTAATCTGTAGAGGAGGAAAGCCATTAAAATGATACATGGTATTCTTTGGAACCAGACGATATCCAAAGTTTACAAAAAGAAAATGTATAACTCCATCATCAAAAGCATACCCATGGTAGCGAGGTATGGCAGTTGAAGGATTGGCCCTTTGTTAAGGTGAGCAATATGGACTACTCGCGTAGATCAGTCAGAGTTTTGAGGAAGGATCACGTTCGGAATGAAAGGGAACGTGAAATTATGGGCTTCGAAGACAACAAAGTGCATGACATTTTTACGAAATAGCTTGTCTGGTATCGGCATTTGCAACGGATGCCTGATGATAGTTTGCCTTAGACGGTTCTGGATCCCCCCCCCTTTTACCTATAGGTACCTTTACGAATACACTCAAGATTGCTTTGCATACGTTTGTGAGGAGGGTCGCCTGGCCCTTTTTATAACCTGTGCTTGCAATCCTGGCTAGAAAGAAATAACGGATGAACTGATGCCTGATCCTAATGCTATTGATAGACATGATCTAAGAGCACGAGTGTCTCACTTCAAAGTTAAGAAACTTTGATTAATAAATTACAATTTCCCCATGATTGATATTAATTTACTTTCATATTTCTTATCGTAAAATTGAACCTTACATCATGCCGTGCCAATCACTTTGTAACTATTATAACGCAATCATCATTTTGCACTGACAATTCATCAAACTGATGCCACTTATGTTTTGTCATTTTTCCACATAACGAACATACAATCGAAAAACCCCAGTCAACGGAAGTTGCGGAGATTATCCGTTTCAAAACGGGAAGTACGATTTCTTAACATTACGCAATCATCATTTTGCACTATAACGATTCATCATGCTTAAGCCAGTTTCATTTTGCCACTTTTCCCACAGTAAACATACTTACCATCAAAAAATGAACGAAAGTTGTGGATATATTCGTTTCAAAATTGGGAGTAAGATTTTATTTTATAGTGGATTGTTGAGTTCAACTGATGTAGCGCAGAAATGTATGTAAATTCATCCAGGAATTAAAATAGGATATCATTTAATTAAATATCAAAGAAGCTTCATTTCAAATTAAGTTTAAAAGTTTCTAGCGATTCTAAGGGTCTCGCAAACCGAGACCGGGGCCCGCTTGTTGAAAATTGTATCATCTGCCCTTCCAAGAAATTCTGGATGGTGCAACAAAACTTGAAAAATGCATAATCATTCATAGTTACGGCTTTGTTACTATATTATATTTTACTTTTCATGGACTTTTCCAATAAAAAAACAAAGATTCTGGCATTTTTAAAACATTTTTTTTTTCAATTTCCACACAAAAGAGTGGTTAAACGTGACAAAATTAACGCAATGAAACAATTTGAAAGTTTATTAACCTTAAAATTCATAAAACTGGGTAATTTTTGTGCCAAAATTGAAGGTAGAGTAGCGCCACGGACGCCTCGAGATGCGCTCCAATAGAGTTAAAATTCCAAAAAAATTTCCTCCGGACCCTTCTCTTAGCTGGGAGTATCCCATACCCCCCAGACCCCCTGTTGGTGAGGTGGGGGGACCAGGCTCCCCCTAGCAAAATGATCCCGGTACATCTATGATTGCGAGAAAGCTACTTGGCTTCGCACTTTGGCCATAGATTCATTCCAGTTATTTTATTTAAAACGTAGGAATTTAAAATTTTCAGTAAATTTGCAGTGCTTGCAGTTCCTCATTTCAGAATTCAGTCCATTAATTCCTTTGTAAAATTTTGCAAGAGACCGAATGGTGCGTTTAGTTGGCGTCCGACTGTCCATAATGTGAAAACCTTGCTTGGATTAGGTCTACTCGTTTAATAAACTAATTATTGGTCTATGTATGCTTATTACGTGGTTGCAAAAGCGTACCATAATATTCTTGGTTGATTTTGTATCAGAAAGGACATGAGTGCCGAGCAACGGGGAAGCTGCCGGGGCCAGTGTGGCTGACGTTCGGGCGGTGTCGGAGCCGGAAGAAGTTCCGGCCACGGGTCTGCGGGCAGTGCCCGGCCAAGTGCTGCGCACCCGAGCTGAGCACGACCATTAAGGTGGAGTTCTTCTGCTTCGAACGGCATTCCTTCAACGCTTCCCTCGAGGGCACCAGCTTCTGGCACCCCGTCTCCTCCGGCGACCACCTCATTGGCGAGTACTATAGCATCTTCCTCGACGTCGAGTGGGTCCTCAAGTGTCGCTGCCCCGAATGCAAGAAGCAGAACTAAGGGCTCTTTCTTTCAGGAAAATCCCCCGAGGGCACCCTTCACGTTACGTGGCCGCTGCCGCTGCTCAGAGTGTCAAGAAACACGACTGAGTGGCATCACTCTCAGGGCAATCGCAAGAGAGCGCTAGTGGTGCTCCATGTTGGTATTTGGAACTACAATTTCCGGCTCAGTTTACAAACACCGTATGTACCATTAGTTTCCTTCTACACATACAAGGTTTAGGTGAGGCAGAAATTTTAGTTCTCAATTGCAAAATGTAGTCCAATTCAACTTCGATGATGTCACTCTGTCGTTTAGTGCAAAAAATCTAATTTGACTACATTTTGCGATCCGAAACTACAATATTTGGAAACATCATCTGTAAAAATAATCTTGTGCATTGGGAAACTAATAATGCATACGTTTTGTCTAACCTGAGCCAGAAAGTGTAATTGCAAAAATGTAAATTGTAAATCGCAAAATACTGTCTAACTGAGCACCATCTCACTCGAGGCAATCTCAAAAGGGTGCTGGGGACTCAAATTTTTCGGTAAAAGAGGAACCTAATCTTTTTTCGAGTGTATATTGGAGTAAATATTCATGAAGTGGACTTTGTTATCTCTTTTGCGATTTAAGTGACACCGTCTAAAAATCTGAGAGGGAACCAACTGGTTTCAATTCTCTTTAGTGATTTTTTCCGTTTTCACCCAAAACTCAATTCTCAGGATCGAAAACAAATGCATTTTACGGCAACGTAGAGGATGGTAGTCCCCCTCAACTGTTTCAAATACAAATGTTGTGTACATATAAATTCTACTTGGAATTAAAATGGTTTGTTGTTAAAATTCAGCACCAAATATGCGTCCTCTGACATGATTTCACTAAAAACTTGATAGACACATCAGAAGCTTAAACATACCTTTCAAGTGAGAAATGAGGGTGTTTTCTGTAATCGTCCATTCAAAATCCCTGCTAGCCAAAAAATGGAGTCTACATAAGTCAAGTTTGTCCTCTTAAAATTAATTTTGATGTTTTTTGTGATAAATAATTTTCTCAGTGAGCCGGATTTTTCCTGTCATTTTTAGTAGTTCCGTATAGAGAAAAACGAGATTTTTTGGAGGAAAATTGTAGGTACCTCCCAGGCGTCTAGTTTGTCTGCAAGGAAGATTCGTGCTGCGTAAATTTTGATTTTTAAGCAGAAGAGAATTATGAGCCTTCGGATCTGAATGTAAACTATCAAACCCAATTTCTCTATTACAGATTCATTTTGATTACTGTTAAAACACCCTCTCCGTGAAATTTTGATGAGAAAACATACCCGACGGTGTCCTCCAATTCCTATTTTTTCTAGAGATCTAGTCCAATGACTGCTTACGACAAGCAGGTCCTCATTTTCCCATCAAATTTGATTCTCAACTCCTTTCAAATGCCACCACTGGGTCTCTTGAGTCAGATGAGTCGGAGATAAGATCTGAAAAATGTGTTTTATTATGTATCATATAGAGTGCATTTTATCGACAAAAAAAAATTGTAAATTTTAATACAAAAGCACTTTTTAAAGAAGTCTCTATTAGTAATACATGCGAACTTCTTATTGAAGCATATGGTAATCAGAAGAGGTGAATCTCTTTTTATATTTGAAGTGGTTATTCGACGGTACGGTACCGTCGAATAAAACAAACGTTATTCGGCCGTATATACCGCCAAATTAAACGTTCTTTGGCGGTACGGTACCCTGACTAGAAAATCTTCTAAGTATCGCTAAGGTACCTTTACCGGATAACTTTATGACCGCTTATCGGAAAATTTACAAATGCTGAGGTGCCTTTACTGGATGACTTTTTAACCGCTAACCAGAAAATTAATTTCCAACCGCTAAGGAGTCAACAGTAGGTATACATGCCGCAGGTAATATCACAATACCAGGTACTTCAGGCCGAATGTAAATGCACTTCGGTAACTCAGTGCTTCGATGTTTACGTACACTCTAACTGTCGTCCGCACGCACTTTAGAAAATTTCTGTAGACAAACGTAGTTAAAAAACTTATGAATATTTTATTGCTATTACACGCAGTCAACAACTTGACGAAAACACAACTGAACGGTGAAACTGTGCAAAATTTTTGCGGGAGCCCGAAAATACGATGCCGGTCTCTGAGGCGAGTACTGGTGGGTTATTGATTTTTACGCGTCCAAGATTTCCTTCCTCACATAATTTCTCCTGATAAAACCGATAGATCACCATAGATGGTGCTTGCTTGCTCATCCGGTGGAAGCATCCTACCTATTGGAAATTTTCTGATTAGTGGTTAAAAAATCATCCGGTAAAGGCACCTTAGTAGTAGGAATTTTTCCGGTTAGCGGTTAAAAAAAGTCATCCGGTTAAGGCACCTTAACGGTAGGAAATTCTCCGGTCAGCGGTCAAAAAGTTATCCAATAAAAGCACCTTAGCAATACTTAGAAGATTTTTTGGTGAAGGTACCGTACCACCAAATAACATAACAGTTTCTTTGATGGTACCGTACCGCCAATTAAAGTTTTATCCGACGGTACCATACCGCCAAATAACGTCATCCTTTTATTTCTTGAGAATGTGTTCTTCGTCTTTTTTCTTTTGGTTGCAATTTTGTGTCGAATACTAATAATACTAATCGAATTTGTGTGGTGCGACATCATTCTGAGCATTTCTTAGGCATCAGCCTGTAAGTCAGGGAAATTGAAGTGCTTAGTCCAGTTGGTATTTACGCGTTCCTTACGCTGTTTGTTCAAGCAGCGTAAGGAATCCGTATTTATGATTTGTCAGATTCCTCCAATGTTTTATTATTAATTGTTTTCAGGAGGTAGCACAATTATACTTTGCAAAAAGAGCAGAGGCTTTGGAAATACCTTCTTCTGACAGTTTCTGAGGAAACATTCAGACATAGAACATAATAAGTTTACGAGCAAAAGCGATTGTCAAAAGTTTGATACTCTAAACTTTCTCCGTTCAAATTCATTACAAAGTAAATATTTCATTTGATGCAGGCTGCCGTGGTAAATGCTGATTCCCTTAAGTGCTGTAAAATAGACAAAATTCAATGTCACACGTCACAAACTTGTAAAAAAGGCTCTGATCAAGAACCAATAACATAGAAAAGTGCTATTTATCAGGTATATGGTGTCTCATGTCACAACTCCTTACTTATTTGATTTGAATACTCAGTACAAATGGAGAGAATTTACAACTACCCGTGTATATTGTAGAATAAGTGAACGAAATTGTATTTGTCTTCTTTTAATATAAATCTGTATTTTTCTCGAAGTGGAGTATCATAATTTAACCTTCCTTTTTCCGATGAAAAGAGCCTCCAAAAAAAGGCCTTTTTTGGCCCCTTTTCTGAAACTCGGGGAATTCATTTAAATGTGGCCGAAACGAAACCTTATGATGACCTAAGACTCCAGTAAAAATTTTAGCTTGAGTATACGTCTGGTTTCGGAGATACAGCGGTGCAAAGTTTGCATATTTAAGCTTTAAGAATCTTCATATTTTCAAATCAACATCAGAGTGCACCTCACAATAAAAAAGCGTAAAGGAAGCATAATGATAAAAAAAAAGCCTCTATTAAAAGTTTTAGCTCATGCATGACCCCTGTTTTGGTAGTGCAACGTTGCAAGTTTACCTTTCTGAGCTTTAGAAATGCTCAGATTTTTAAGTATCTTGTTTAAAAACCAATATACATCAGCGCCGCTAGAGACGACCCTAGTGGAAGTGAACCTCATGCGGCGGGAGGTTCGCAGGTGGTTAACTGTCCGCAGCGGGGACTAACCTCATGCAACCTCAAGCAAGCACCCGTCGCATGGAGTCGCATGGAGTTCACACCCTGTTCCAGGAAAAGCTGCATGAGGTGACGGGTACTACCTCCCGCGAAACCCAGGAACCTCCCGCCAAGCTCCCGCCAAGCTCCCGCAAGCCCTAATCACCTCAAGCAAGGGCCAGCAACCCCATGCAGC